TATATTTTAATTTAGAAGACAATGATCATGAATGGCAATAAATTTTAAATTTTAAAAATGTAAATTATTAGCTAAATGTTTATATATAAAACTTAGCTGGAAAGTAAACATTAAGTAGGGAAAAATGAATTAAAAAAAAAAAAAAAAACATGATTAAAAAAATATTGGATTAACCGAATGGATATGAATCATATAAAAATAAATTCGTTCAGATATGAATCGGATCAAATAAAAACTGATACGATTGGATTCGAATCAGATTAACCTAAAATCTGATCCAATCCGATCTGTTGTGATCCCTAATTGGTACTACTAGTAGTATAGTGACTATCACTATTAGTTCTGTTCTTGTAGATGAAGGCTAATCAACTATACTTACTTGGAACTTGTTTTCTCTTTCTGCTTCTTCAATTTATATCTATGCTGCACCCATCTTCATATTTTCATTTCCATAATCAACAAGGGATTCATCTGAGTAAAAAGTCATTGATTTATTGCTACTATTTTATTTATTACACCTGAGTATTTCAATCAGATGAGTTTGATATACACCTTCTTTAATATTCTCTTTAATGAACTTCTCCTCCCAGTTCTCTATCTCTACTTCTTCCAGATGCCTTTTATTACATTGTGTAGTTATTGAGTCTATATGAATTGTTCTACTTATTGATCCCTCTAGGACTACTTTGAAACAAGAAATTTCTAAAAGTTGAGCTCTTTTTGTAGATTTCCTAGTATTAAGATAAGAAACCATATATATTTATTCTATGTTTGCTTTTACTATGCATTAATTTTTAGTCATAATCCCTTTTGGGCAGCCCTGACATTGCATCAAATTTTATCCTAGGTTTTTCTTGAAGCTGTCACATTTGAAATGATCTATTTTAATGCATCTTTTATTGTTATTTAGAATCAACTTTCTCCAAACAAGTAGTCACTGCTGATTATTGTTCTTGATAACCATCCAAAGTTTTTACCTTTTATCAAGATTAAGATTGAGTAATGGATATTCTGGACTCTATTTTAACCAATCCTCTTTCCAAGTTCTTGTGAGCTGTTCTAGTTTGTTTTCTTGTATCTTTTTTGTTATTGACAAGTACTATTCTGGAATGGGACCCTTATTTGTCTTTTGTAAAAGTTGAAGCATTTGCCAGTTCAATACTTCTCTAATTTTATAGTTGATAAGTTGATCCATATACATCAACTTATTGTGTTTAAGTGATAGAATGACTTTACTGTATTCATTTGTTGACAAATGATCTTTAATTGAACTATTTTCAATACTCCAAATAAAGATATCATTTCACTTCCAACTATGAAAAGTTATTTCCATATCTTTGATCAATTTCAGTACTTGTAATGTGAAGTTGCCCCTTTCCAGAAGATGGTTTAGTGAGTTACATATGATCAAGTTGAGAGGTTCCCAGTACTTAATCTGTAATTACTTTAATCTGATAATAGTTATAATTCCAGCTGACCCTAAGTCATTTAACCTATTGCATAATTCTGTTATCTGACTTTCTTTTTGTAACATCCAAACACTCTTTAAATTGTAAATTCTGGGATGATGTACTATACTATTAGGTATGGATTGACATAGTGTGACCTTATTTGAACAGCTTTCTATATACTATTGTCAAGACATTACATATTAGCAAGGATAGTATACTATGCTACATTCTGAATTCGATTCTAGGTATTAAGACTCTATTCAGAATATAAAGTGCTTGTTTGTTGGTTAACTTTTTATTCTTTAAAAACTTAATAACTATATCGATTTCTTTAAGTATTCATTCTTTGAGCTCAATGGCTGATTTCTAGTACCTATCCAAATCCCTAAAAATTTTGTCTGTTTAACTCTATCCAATTCTCTAACTACTTCTCTGTCAATCCCTGCTTCTAGATATTAATTGTAATTATTAATAGTAATTAATATTAATTTGCTACTATTAATCTATGAATCATTTTTTCTATAAAAGATTCTTGTTTCTTCCAAAATCTTTTCCATATCCTCTTTGAATCTTGCTATTCATGTTGTATTATCCATAAATGTGATAACTGCATGTCTTGACTCTAGCTTTCTTTTAGCATTTCTCTTTAAATTTGGATCCCAAGTTACTGATATTTTATAGCCTTTTGTTTCATCATTCTTAATCTTGCACAATAAAAGGTTATAGAATATCCTTTACATTAGTGGTGAGATAGTTTCTCCTTGATCAATCCTATTACCTGCTGTGATTACTTTAGTTAGATCTTTCTCAAATATAATCCTAAATTCTTGATTTCAAAATAGACTTATTATAATTTAGATAAAGCCTTCTGATATTTTGATTCTATTCATTGCCTTAATTAACATATTCAGGCTAATAGTTTCATATACTTTTGCTATATCTTAAAAAGTATTTTTATTTTCTCTTGCTTTCTCACAAATATTATTGAGAATTTGAATCAGTTCTGCTATACTTTCTCCTGGTAATCCTATATAATTAGGTCCTCTTAGGATATTGTTGGTCTTGCAGATACTATATTTCTCAATCTGTTTGTAAAAATTTTAATAAAGCATTTTCATGTAACCTCTAGCAATACTATTGATCTGGTGTTGAGGAGTTCATATCCCCATGGTTTTGGTTTTGCTTTCATCCTATTGGAGTAACTTTCTATCTTAGAAAGCAGTTAAACATTTTTCTAAGATATTCTTTTCCTTCTCGACTCAGTCTTTTTAGTATTTTGTAACTAATTTGTAATTTCCCTGGGACTTTGTTATTGGGAAGTTCTTGAAATGTTTCATGTAGTTCTTGAAAGATTGGCTCCAATAGGTCTTTATACTACCTTTTATTAATATAATTTCTAGGATTGTATTCTTCTTTCCAATCTTCAGTAAGGTTGTCAAAATTGACATTTCATTTTTTGAATGTCTCATTATGATATCTTCTTATTTCTCTTTCAATTTCTTCCTTCTTAGTGGTTATATATTCCTTTTTTTCATCTTTAATCTTGATCCTATCCAATATTATTCTGATTTGCTCTCTGTCAGTCAAGAAGTTTACTATTTTTCTTTGATTGCTATGTAAGTCATTACATCTCTGTTCCAAGGCTCTTTTGATAGCATCCCTTGTTTTTTTTGCCTCTATATTCTAACAAGTGAGTTTTAGGCCTTTTATTGTATCCTGTATATCCTTTTTTAATAGTTTCCATGGAATTTGAGAAATACTATATTGGATGCAAAAGTTTTTGATCTGGTAATTAAGACTAAAGGTAGTGTTGTGTTTTCTAATCGCTATACTAAGGACTTGCAATTTGATTGGATTATATATACTTTCTGCCTTCTTAAAGAGTACAAATAGTTAAAGAGCCCTTTGATATTTGATGAATTCTAGTCCATACCTATGATGTTTTTCTTGGAAAGCAGCTAGCTTCTTGATTTTAAGCTTGTTATATGCTGTCCTACATATTTGTTCTTCAAATGTCTTCCAAATCTTGTTTGCTTGAGCTTCTCTTTTACTATTTTCAAGTTCTTCTTTAAGCAATAGATCCATTGTCATTCTGAGTTTGTGATTCAGGCTTTTACTAAATGCTTTTCACTGCTCAGATGTTGATCTCTTTATATCAATTCTTTGTTCACTCTTTGTGAGAGGCTTGTTTTTGATATCTCTTGTGAAGAGATTGGCATAATGCATTGTTAGTATAAGCATAGCATAATCACTTCCTATTGTTTCCTCCATACTTTGGTTGTCAAATTTGAGTATTGGATAGTTTGTAAGACTTTGAGATATCTATATATAATCAATTCGACTACTGCTAGTAGTATTTCATCTTATTGGATTTTATTTTTTTCTTTCCATATAGCCTATATGTCAAGAAAAGATCATTCATCTAAAAAGTTGAATAGTGAAATTTCTGGGCATCAAGATGGTTTAAATTTAGCTCTGAATGTTGATATCCTATCTTCTGCAGGATTGTATACAGTATTAAAATCTCCCATTACTATTATATAAAAGCCTGGTCTAATTTTTTCTTTAATAAAGCTTTGTACTTACTCCTTTTTGCATCTTTATACTTTATCATTTGTCTGAGGAAATATAGATCTGGATGATACACATCTTGGTCTATTTCATGAGTATATTAATTACTATTATATATCCTTCTGCCTCTTCTACTGAAGCTACTTTTTTTTCCAGATCTTTTCTTATCAAGAGACTAATTTCTGTACCATATAGAGTATCTTTATTGGTACTATGAAAATGCTTGAAGGTTGTTTGTTTATGGAAGACCCATTTTGTCTTTACATTAGTTAGTTTTGTTTTGCATAGTCCCATTATTTCAACACCTTGTTTCTGTATTTCTTCTATAAGATTATACTGGTTTGTACTATCAGTAATACCTCTAATATTATATGTCCCTATTCTCATTACCCTTTTTTGTATATCTTTCTTTTTTATTTTTTCTACCTGTGGATTCTCTTCATTTTTCTCTAGAAATTTATCTTTTTCTATTTACAAGAAAGTATTAAGATCTTGATCATTCTGTTGCTTCCTACTATTGTTCTTTTCTATTTGTCATGCTTTGTCCTTGTTTTGCATTTTTGACTTGAGAATGGCAGGCTAATATTCCTTTTCTTTCTGTGGTTGGACTAGTGCACCCTTTTTAGGAGCAGTTAATCCTTCTTTTGAGTGGATCTTTCTCTAGTTTGTCTAGTCATTTGCTAAACTTTTTTAATATTTTGCTTAGCTGGGCTATCTCTAACTCTTACTTTACAGTTGATCTTAGGCTTCTTGTTTTCTATCTTGTTGTCTGCCTTTGATATCACCTGGTATCCAAAGCTTCATCATCTGCTTCTAAGGAATATTGTGAAGCCTGATGTAAAACTTGATTTGCTTCCTGATGTCTCCACCTCCTTAGTGGCTTCCTATTGTTACCAATTACTAGTGGTATAGACCTCATTATACTTCTCCTATTTTCTGACTGACTATTGTTTCTTCTAAGTCTTACTGCCAGTATAGCTTCTTTTTCAGTTATCATGATATCTTCATTACTTTCTCTATTTCTACTTGCTCTATCCTAGCTTTTATAATCTTGTTTCCTTGCTTCTTTAATCATTATATATACATTGCCTAATCTAATCAAATTGACTAATACCTTATGATAAAAATGATTCTTTGCACTTTATCTTAGCTCTTGATTTTTTATCTTTATTTGATACTGGAGTATCTCTCTTAGATCTTTTTCATTCTCAAAGTACATTACTGCATAGTTTTCTAATACTAAAGTAATCTTGTTTTTTGATATATAAAAGGCCTTAGCCTTCATATGGTTTAAGGCTTCTTCTATGATTTTATAGATAATCCATTAACTCCATAAAGTCTCAAGGAGTATCTCTTTTTTTCTTTTAGAATTTGAGTAATTTTTTAATCATCTTGTTTCTTTTAGACTATCACAGACTGTACTTGATTGGATTTTATCTTAATCACCCATTCTTTATCCAAGTGGATATATTTTCAGTACACATAAAAGTGAACTTTGAACCATTTTTGATGGAAAGATGTTCTATATTCATGAATATTGATAATTTCTCCAAATTCTTTCATTGTTTGTCTAATTACATATTTGTCAAGCTTGTGATCTGTATCTACTAATGTAATATATTTTGATCTATTTTTAGCTGATGAAAAGCTTTCTGGCTTGAAGAACTTTTTGTTTTGAACATATCTTTGGAAGGCTGGACGTGTGCTCATATCTTTGTCCATTTTTTTAAGTGTAAAGTTTTCAGCTTCTTTTTTGTTAACAGCCTCCAGACATCTTGCTGCATCTTCTTATTTATCAAAGCCAAATATAATTCAATGGTTGCCATTGATAAATTTTGTTTTGAAGGAATTCATTTCTTAAGTATTTTAAGAACTTCTTTAAAATATATAATTCTCTCTTTTCTATTTTCTCCTGACAACATGGCTTGGAGTACTTCACCTTGATTAATCCCTGTTGTTTTATGAAGAATAGATTTACTGTTGTCCCTTGAATCCTGTTTTTTATATTATAAGATATACTGTTTATAATACAGCTTCTCTACACAATTTCTTTTAACACTTCCATTTCTATTTGTTCTACTACTTTTTTATTCTCTATTATGACTTCTTTAATGAAGTGCATTTCTTCAAGTTCTGTAGAAGTTGGCCGAACTTCTATTGTGTACTTTTTATCATAGAAACTTTAACTTAATTAGAGCTTGATACTTGTATTACTGGCTTGCTTGTCAACATATTATATACCTTTTCTTCTAATATAAGTGCTTTAAAATCTTTCTTTTTACCTTGCATCTTTTCTCAAAGAGTGAGAATATATTGCTGCAGTATGCATTCTTTTGCCATCACCAATGGATCTATTCTCAATAGATTGGCAATAATATTATCGAGTATCAAGAAAACATATATTGACTCAGCAGGAATATGGAATTGATTGGTTGCTATTGGTCTCAACTTATGTTATATCATTCTTGTTTCTTAAAGTACTTGCTAAGGATCTTGATAAGAAGCTATCTTTTCCAATACTTTCAATAGTTCCTTTTCTCTTCTCTCTAAGATCCTGATTATTGTTTGTGCTTTTGTTGACATGTTGTCATGTGATATATATAAAAAAATTTTAATACATATTGTTATTATATAAGTGTCTTTTAAATACATGATCAGATAAATATTGTTATTTATTATTTTTTTGTTTGGTGTATATGGCAATAAGTTGCTATATTAATATTTGAAAGTCTATGACATGTAGCTTCTATGTAAAGATGAGTCCCTAAAGTAGTTGATAGGTATATAAGTGAGGATATAAATCAGGCTGACTTTTGGCTATAAGGATATAATATTTCAGTTATAAAAATATATATAACTTAATAAAATAATATTATTATTATATAATTTTATTTTTTAAAATATCTGGTTCCGTTGATCCTCTGACTACACATAAAAAAGATGTTCGCAAGAAGTTTTTATACTTCTTTGCTAATAAAGTCTTAATACTTT